TTAGTGCATGAAAAAGTTGAAAAGAGATTGTTGTGTGAACATTTACGAAAAGTATAGATTCGCGTAACCATACGATTGACTCTCGAATACGAAATCAAGCAGCAGCACATTAATAAGAAGGACAAGGGACCCCACAATATGGACAAAACAATATACCTAAGTTCGATTTCTGAATAATTAAGGTGCGAATGATAACCATTCTGTTTTCGAGCCAAATTTCTGATCAGAAATAGATTTTAATGTCATTGTTGATCCCTCCGCTCTTATTTAATAATTAAAATCATCCCTCTATATACGTTATATAATGATTCAAAACCGTTCTCATACTTTTCGAAACGTGCCAATTCTAAGTCGTTCCATTATAAGTTTTCCCTATTCCTAGCCGATTTTTGTTGACGTAAATAATCGGATCGCTGAGCTCGACTTTGGAGAGCACTTGCCCTGTTATGATTCGCGAATTCTTTTTTACGCAGTGCTAACTAAGCGTTGCATCAACCGCAATAAAATTTAAAAGTTAATCGAGAGAGAGATTGAGAGATTCGGAGCTTGCGACAATGACAGCTCGAGTTTCTTCGAGCTCCATGCAGAGATTCGCAATAAGTTTTAGGATTTGATTGCAACAACCGAAAGTTTTAGCGCTTAATTGCACTTTGGCACAAAATGTATTTATCCTATGAATTGGGGTGATCGTACTATGTCCAATTTACCTAGCTCAAGAGGACCCCTAAAGATAATGACAAGTAAATTAGTCCATTTACTAATGATTGCTCCAAACCAACAAGATACAAAAGATTCTTAGCTAACGATAATTTGCACCTAATAGAATAATCGATTAGGTAGCTAGTTCACGCTTCAAAAAAGGATTATGTAGCTATGGTTCGATAATGATGAAGACAACGACCCATCAACTCTCAATCATCGTCACGTCACGTTCAAAGAATGCGATGGAGTAATTAGCTATCATGAAATACCGGCGAATTATTATTACAATTGAGTTTTTCTCTGGGCTTAAAAGTTGCATCGAGAATAATCTTTTCATTGAACACCTTGAAAGACGAAATCATGCATAAGTTTTTTTTTTAATTTTTATTATTTTACAGTTTGTATATTAAAAGACACGTTGAGTGGATGTACATTAAGCACGCAATTCCTTACTTCAATGTTTATAATAGAACCCTCCCTATTACGTGAGACATTTTAAAGAAAAAAGTTCAAGGCACCACTTATTTAAATTGATAATTTGCATGTAATGTGTAGTCAACAATCTAATTTTGGAAGTGCATGAGTTGCTTCTAAGACACCAAATTTACATTGATGTACCCACATAAATTTCGACACATAAAAGGTTCCTATAACAACACTTCATGGGAATTCCTAAGACGAACTTTTTAAATATCGCATTGCATAAATTAGCGCATGCGTATCGGACAAAAGTTATCTTTTGTCTGAAAAAATATATATAGTCGACGCAACTTAATTACTGTGGATTGAAATATTCTAACCATGTGTTAAGAACAAGTTGTGTTACAATGTAACGCGTTATAGGAATACTGCAAACTGCTGTTGTCGAGGATTGCTAAAAATATAGAAATAAATTATACGAGATTGACTACACAAAAATGGGAGGGAGAAATTACGAAGAAAATGCTTAGAGGTGGGAGTAGGTTTTGGAATTATTCACCCTCTCCATGATGAGCCAACTCTTGGTAAACCATCACATTTTCTAGTCTCTTATATGAACTCAAGTCTGAATTAACTTATACTTTTTTTTTAATATTTTGGTCAAGTTATTCAATAATTTATTCCGAGTTCATAATATATCAGTGGACGACGAAGCTTCCTGTTTCTTTCTTTTACTTTGTGGTGGCTAATTAACACAGTGGAAAATGAAGTTGACGCAACAATAAATAATGGGGGATTCTCCTATCTCATAACGCTTCGAATACATCAGCTTGGCATTTATCGTCCGTCGTTTTGTCATACCAAAGTGCCCTTAATTTGAGGGCACGGCACGATTTTCTATTCGTTTCGCAGAGTACGAGGAGGGACAGAGCCCCGAAGCTTCGTCGCTTGTAACGTTGGCCCTCGTTGTTGTCGCCGCAACGGAGCCGAACAGGCGAAGAAGCTCCACGAGTGATCCTCCTGTCTAGACTTCTGTTCTAAAAATTTCAATAGAGGGTTTAGAAATCCAAGAGAAGTCAACAAAACCTGCGTGCAGTGCAGATGTTAGAAGTCCAAACGAGAAGTTTCAGCACCTTATGGGCCCTGCTGTTCGTGGAAAATGTTCTCAATTTCAATAAGGGGGTTCTTCAGCTCAAAGCTCATACGGCCCAAGCTCAAACAAGCATGCATGTAATAAAAGGCTGTCCAAGCTCATAGGCCTTTAGATCTGCAGGTAGCCTTTTTGATGTTTCTGCTGTTTTTTCTCGGTTAAAGCCATCGTTTGACCCTAGTGGGATTTATAAGCCTTTGGACATTATTCGCTAGGATTGCTACTTGATTTAAAGTGTCTCGTGTCTCTCTAGTTTAAGCCACAGCCCTGTTAGGACGTGATTTATACTCCTCATCGATAGGAAAGCATGGGCGTCCCATTCCCCAATGAGCGGGCGGAGATATGATGGGGTAGAAGGTTTTTATAATTTGGGTCTGTATTTTATTGGTAATTTGGATTTGGGCCCATAAAATCTCATTTTCTTGTAATTGAAGAATGTAACGGAGAGGTGAGATGTGCTGAATATAGTGCAATCTACTGCTGGACGTAGCCTTGATTTAAGGGTGAGCCAGGATAAAACCTTGTGCCTCAATTTTTCTTCTTCGCCTTTACTATCTATTTCATTGTATTTGTGCAACTAATCCTAACAAGCCCCAATTCTTTTGCCGACACACATGAGACTAAGGATTTCATGGTCGCAATGAACTCGAACTATCGAGAAAGTTTAACTTTGGAGGGTCTGGGATGTGTCCGCGTCTCAAACCCGAACTCGACAATGCCGAAAAGCCCGACTCGAAACCAAGGTCAAGATCATCGAGACCCAATTGAGAAGTTGGTGGAGGTCTTTCCCCCCTTAATTTTAATTCCAGCTTGCTTAGAAACTATGCATATCACATCCACGAATCTATCTCAATGCATCAACCATTATTATACACGAGTCATGCTAGGTATTATGATGAGTGATATTCTACACACAATAAGATTTTGCCAAATTATTCAATACATGCTAGTTTTGTGATCCTTCTTGCATATGAAGGACCAACCCTTACCTGAACCCACCAAACCAAATCGCCTCAAGGTTAGCCAGGAGCGGCGGCACAGCTGTACAGCTTTGCTGTCATATAATCAATAATGCAATCTGCATGTTTTTCGAACTTACTTAGGCATTTTCATACATATTAACCAAGCAATTGTCCAAGAAGTTGCCGCTTACCAGGAACAAAATATGATTTTTCTAGACATGGGGATTGACCTAATTTGGGTCCTGGAAGCTGCTGTGTACGTATGTCTGGAAAAGAACCCACGAATCAAAATCATACTCATCCACGTTTTCTCGCAAGCTTGATGATGCTTCTTAACCTTTTTCCAGAGAACATTGATTCTCATGGTTAAGTTGTGCATGTTGAATCACTCATCCAAGCGATTCAAGTCAAAGAAGTCGCCAAGCTTGGGATCACAAGTGGCCTCATTCATTTTACACCGCACGGTCGATTTGCTGTCTTACTATACTTGACATTCTGTCACTATAAGTTTGTTTACAGGACAATATGACGGTGACCAGATTATCGGTACTCGGTACTTTAGAACGTCGTTTACCGGACACATCCGACAATGATCACCATCGTCGTCACCACTATCTCCGACAATTAACCTTTGTTTGCCCATGTTACATACCCGATACGTAACCCTTTCTGCTCAATTACGTTTTTGTGAAGTTCGAGCCCGAAACTCAGTACCGGTGAACACGTGCACTTCTTTAAACCACTATGCCGAATTGGGCATCTTTGATTATTGTTCAAACCCTAATTATATTGTAATCACCGCGAGGGTCGTTGGGTCCAACTCCAAGTTGTGCAGGAACGTTTGAACGAGTCATATTGCTGTTTTTCAACGGGCCGGCCATTGAAGTGCAAGGAACATGCATTTGCACGTAGCCCCCATCATCATCCCTCAAACTAAAGTCAGCCAAATATGAATGGAAGAAAATTAAGTGATTGAAGACGTGGCCTACATTACTATTAGGCCTAGCATATGTCTATGTCACATTATTGGGGATCCACTTGCCAACCACCCGTATTTTTTTACGGAACTTCGTCTAAAAGTATTGATAATGTGTAGAAGAATTTTATTTTTATAGGCTTTTTTCCCCCCTTCAAATAAAATTATTCGTGTAAATCTTCCGTCGGTAATTAATTAGACATTAGTCCCGCATGAATCGTGTAAGTTCTTATGTAGACTTAAAATGAACGAGGTTGATCATAAAAGGTCACTCACCAAATTGATTTGCATGAAATGATCTTATATCAACTAATCTTTGGAAGGAATCCGAAATTTGCTCATTATAATAGACGGTGAAGACAAATGATGTTCAATTCATCTCGCTGATCCATTCATTGTTAAAATCTTTTTCTTGCTATTGTATAGAAGCTTAAGTATAGAGGTATAACCCTGTATAAATCTTTTGTTTGCTAATTTCCATCTCTTTCTTAATGTATATTTAAACCATCTCAGCTTCCGTTGCTTAGTTAGATCATGTTTGATTATGACAGACTATGATGCAACTTTTAATGAAAAGTCAAACCCTAACTACAAACCGGCTGGCCATCTTTAACCACCGATGAATTCTTTAATAGAGTTGTTGCCATGAATGAGACTAAGAAAATGGTCTGAGAAAATGCCTCCCACCTTCCACCGGCCATTACTAGTTGAAATACAACAATCCACATCCTTCATGACATTATATATATATATATATATATATATATATATATATATATATATATATATATATGTACTCGTCGTCTTCAATCTCAGAAATTTTTAATCAGAAAGCTACTTCGTCATTTATCAATTTTGAGGAAGAAACACTACAAAATGGTGCGCCCCGTCTCGGCGTGCACCATTGAACACCCAGAATCCATCGCGCTATCTGTTGGGTTGTTCATCTCGGTCGTGGCTCTAGTAGCGCTGTGTGCAAAACACGCGCGCCGGATCCCGAAAGTCCAAGAGAAAGAACCGGACACGCCCAGAGCCGTGAGGAAATCACCTTTGGCATCGCCGCAGCATGTCCTAGGGGCTATCGGCAACAAGGCTAATCCTTTTGCTATCACCAAGAAAGGCGATGCCGAATATGAGATCGGTGGAGATCATGATAAGGGCACTGAAGGATTCGGAGAGGGGGGTTTATGGCAAAAGTCAATTCTGATGGGAGATAAATGCCGGCCACCAGAGTTTTCGGGCGCGATATATTACGATAGCTACGGTAATCAGCTGCCAGAGCTGCCCAAGTCGCCGAGGGCAGCCAGTCCTTTGCCGAGTTTTTTGGTTTCTGTCGTGAAAGAATAAATTTGCGTCTTCTGGTACATACATATAATTAATGTTGTGTAGATTATACAAACTTGAAAGAGAGAGGCAAATGACTTTACTGTAATGTTTTTCTTTGCAACCTCTTTGCTTGCTGTGAGTCTTGCAAGCTGATCATATGATGCTTCCATTTACTCTTCATACACTCTTTATCCTCATTGATCACAAAAAGTACTCACCGAATAGTGATTCCAGAGCTTAAGACATTTCTATGAACTACTTCCACACCGTCAACTCAAAATCTTCCATTGAGATCTCTTTGATGAAGACATGGCGTACTCAAATTTCTTATGCAGATCACCCCCTCAATGCAAGCGAGCCCTGCAGCAAGGCTCAGTGTCTAGAAAGTCAAGAAAGAGAACATTTTAATCTGCATTTTCTTCTTCCATGAGATTAATTATTCAGGTCTTATAGCCTTTCTACCTTGCATGACAGTTGAATTTATTCAAGAGGAAAAAACACCAAATATAGACCTTTAAATAAATCCATGCGACAAAATTAGCGTAAATACATTCTCTTTCTGGATTTTATTCTGAATAGGAACCCTGGAAGTAATACACCAATCATTTATGTGGCTAAGCAGTAAAATATACATAATTGAATTGGAGATCAAGAAACAAGATACGAAAAAGAGGAAATGATATACTCATGCTTCCAGCTTAGTTTCTTCTTCCGTCTGTGAATGGACCCGGTTTCTTAAGTCTTCAAAAGCCTTCATGCTTTCAGCATCAAAACCTCCGGCAAACTGCAAGTGGCCACAACTCGGTCATCATTCAAAATGTCCATTTAAAAGGTGTTATCTGAATTCTAGCATCAAGGCATGGAAGTGCTCCAGTTAAAGTTTTAGAAGATTCACATATAACGGAGAGAGAGCAGAAGCATTACAGAGTGCTCAAATCTTAAATTCTAGGAGGAACTGATTTCTCACATTGACTGTTCTAAATTTTACCAATTTAGAAATTGACCAATTGAGACGACAATCAAGGAACAATGCACTGTCCTTCAGAATTGTATAAGACTTGGTAGCAAAGAAGATGTACCTGATGCACACGGAAAGCGAATCGCACTCCTTGCAGAAGCAAAAACTCTCTGTTTGGTTCCTTATCAGAACCACCCAATGCGTCAAGTTCAGATGCCACACGTTTCATATACTTCCTTGCCAATTGCACAGATGAGAGTTTGATCTGCAAATATGGAAAATCATCAGACAAGAAGCTTAACAAAACATATACCATGAGATAGTATTTAAAGTTTTGTTAAAAGCGAATTTTTCAGATGATGTATTCTTCCAGGACGAAAAGGCTTCCAGGTTTTGTTGGACTATGATAAAGCTGGTTTCAGCTATACTAGTAGCTTTATACTGTTACAACCTTAGGACAGATCATTTACTAAGTATCAAATGTCGATCTAGGAAATAGTTCTTATTTTTCTGTCAACAAACAGAACTAATTAAATGAAACAAAAAAGAAATCAAACATCTCAGATTCTCTTTAAGAATATTGAAGGATAAACTCAGGCTTGAAGATACCTTGCCAACTACCCCTGAATCCAACAACCAATCGACTGGGATTCCAAACTCCCGGTATCGCGATATGGCCATGTCTCTTGTGCGTAAGAGGGCATACACACTGTGTTCCACTCTGCCAGAGACAGAGAAAAATGAATCACATGATGTCGTGAAAAAGAAAAAAACTTAATCAGTCTGCAATTCACTCTAGTGGAAAACTTAGGCAATTGCTATCATTGTATAGCCAATCACTTTGAAGCAAAGGAATAAACGGAAAGTTGTTTTGAAGCAAACGAATAACCAGTTTATTGTTTTGCTTCCAATGCCAAAATCTTATCCCGATAGCGAAAAAACTTGGGTGATTTCTTATTATATGAGTGCGCTAAAGAAGGTGCTTACTTTTCAAGCAATGAGTACATCTTCTTTAGTGCAGCCTCGCAAGGAAGTTTTGGGTCATCAGTGAAAGAAGAAACGCGCTTCTCCAGTTTAATCAGATCCTGGTATTCAAATGCTGCCTCTCTTAATGCATCTGCTTTCCCTTCAGGCCAGTCAAAGTGCTTCAGAACTGCCCTTTCATCGACCTTGTTAATGGCAGATAAACAAAAAGGATTAGATATTTCCGCCAGCTAAGAAGTATGATTAACTAAGTAAATTGCAGAAGTCAGCAAATAGTTCGGAGATTTTGGACGCATAATTACATGCTTGAAGCTGGAGGGATTTTAAATAAGCAGGACTGAAAATTTATTAAATTCCTCCATGTTGAATTTGCGATGCTTGGACAAGAGCAGAAGGAACTACAGTAACTCTTTGTAATCTCGATTTCGTTCTCTCTCCTTTTTCTTTGCAGAGATTAATTCAGCTTGTATAGAGGTATTAAGTACGAGACTAGAATTTCAGATCTAGGATTCATTAATAGGCTCAGAACAAATCCAGATGCCTGATCCAATTACAAGAGATGTCTAAGGGTCTTTTCTACAGAGAGGGCGACAAGCCAACTCAGCAAAACAAAATTAAATCTGTTTACCAAGAAGGAAAGTTCCTCATCCAGCCAGTTGACAAATGCCACAAGATCTTCAATCTTGGTAAAGGATGCTGCTCGGACTTCTGTTGCTAAAGACTGGACAAACTCACCCTGGGATTCTACATCTGCCTTTACCTGTCATAGGAAGATGAAATATCTCTATAAACTTAAAACAACAAAAGAAGCAAAGTTGCATGAGCAAATGATGAAAAACAACTCACAGCTAAAAGGAACGATGATCTATTCTCTATTTCCCCAATCATGTTGCTCCTAGCATCTGACACATTCGCTGTGGAAGAAATCAGAGATGAAGTATCCTTCTTTGCCTCACGTTTCATCAGCGTCTGATAAAACTCCACTAGTTCAGGAGCCCGATGAACCTTCTCACCGCTTCCTGTTCCTCTAGGAAGACTGCCCGGTGGAGGGGGTGGACGAGGTGGCCCACCCGGTGGTGGCGGAGGTGGTGGCGGCGGCGGAGGTGGTGGCAGCATGCCTGGCAAGGGTGGAGGCATAGGTGGGCCTGCAGATGTAACCGCACTCGAATTATTTGCAACACTAGGGGCAGCTCCTGATGTTTTAGGTGGTGGACGAGGTGTCCTCGGAGGCCTCTTCTCAATGTGTGCAAGCTTCATTCTACTCACTGTTTGAGGATCATCTGCCTTAGCATCAGCTGACCGGCCTCCTGAATCTTGTGAAACAACTACTTTCTCCTTTATCAGAGCAAGTTTTGGTGGCAGCGAGATATTTTTCTCCCTGTCTGTCCTGCTCGAGTCATAATTAATGTTGAAACTCCTAACACCAAACTTCTCAGCTCTTGCTTTGTCGGCCCTTTCCTTGATTTGCTTCTCCCTCTCCAATGCCAACTTATGGCGGTCTTTATAAGCAGGGTACTTTTCATCCACAACACCTTCTACAGATTTAGACATCAACTGGAATGAACTCACCACTGAATTCAACGAATCACCAGACGGTGTTTCACCCTTAAGCTGAGGGGTACTAGGCGTGTCTGGAGAATCAACAGATTCATGCTCCATCCTACCAAAAGTTGTAATGGCGTTATTGTCACTTGCATTCCTCACCATCAAGGCCTCCAGTGGGCCCCTCAGTCGTAGACTCGTGCTCTTTCTGCTAGGTGACCCACCTGAGAAGGATCTCGCAGGCGACGTAAAAGCACTTGAATCGTCTTTGCTTCTACCCCATTTTTTCAATTTCTGTAGTAAGCCAGGCTTCCTACTGAGACTGCTATATCTGCTGGTGGAACTATCTATAGAAGCATTGTCAAAGTCCTCACTTCCAGGAGAAGAAGGGTGTGAGAAGTTGCTTTCGACATCTGTATCTCCTTGTCCACGTTCTGATCCAGCATACTCTACCATCAGCTGTTTGGCCTTTTCTTGCGACTTGGGGCTTAGGCTCTTGCTAAGATCACGAGCTGAAACCTTTCCTGGTGGTGTCTGGTAGTTCCGGAGCTCATACCTCAAACATGCATTGACCCAACGGAGGTAGACTAACTCCTCAACTTCGCTGAACCTGTTCATCTGAAGTCCTTCCACCTGCTTTGACAGGTCTTCATTTATGTGTCTCAACTTGTTGACTTCCTCTCTCACGGATGCAACCCTTTCGGTCTGCACAAAGGAAGCATTATTGAACATGTCTACTCTAGTCCGGCACTTGCTAATCCAGTTAACACAAGTTTCTAAATGACGATAGCCCCTCAATCATAGTATCTGCTAGTGTAAAGGCATGCTCTCCAGTAAGTTAAGTAGCTACTAAGGCAGCCTTTTCTAATATCAGCAACAACCGATGCTTTAATGTATGCTTTAATGTATGTAGAACACTACTTCCGGAACCCTCCTATTCGAGTCATGTATCAGCATTTCTTAGGAATTCGGTCATCTATCAGCAGTCTTAGGAGACGAAATGATGATTTGCCAAAACTGAAATGAATTATATGAGGCCGTTCAGACACTAAGGGATCATTTTGTGGTTATTCACAAGGATCACTTGATACCGCAAGCTGTAAAGTTGCATGTTAAAGATCCTTGCGTTGCTTGGGGATGGGACAATATCTGCTCTTATATAGATAGATAAATGCAGCAAAACATCAAATTAAGAAGCAATAAATTGGACAAAGAATAAAGCAGAACTCTCACCTCGGTCATATTCGAAAGAGCTGCAATTCTAGCTTCCGCAGCATCCAGTTTTATAGTCAATTCTCTTTTCTCGTGCTGAAGTTCTCTGTTTTTCCTTTTCAGCTCCATGACTTCTACCTCCAACTCCTTCATTGCTTTGAGCTTCTTTTCTACTTTGGCTTCTTTTTTAACAGCTTCTTCCTCTTTGGCCTGAAGTCCAGACACTTGTTGTTTGAGCAACAGCAAATGGCCTCTTGTCTGGTTTGCCTGAAGTTGAATCTGATTCTGCAGTTCCTTAATCTTGTTCCTCGCTACCTCTAGGTCCTTCTTCACTGAAGCCCCACGAGCAATCTCGTCTTGCAGCTTCTTCCTCTCTGCCTGTAGCGAATTGATAGTGATTTTCAGCATGTCGATTTCAACAGTCT